ATATATATATACATACATTTTCTCTGTTTACTTTTGATGCATCTAACTGTTGCAATCTTCATCAGCTCAGCTTGTATATGCCTTTGTCTAACTGCACAATTTAAATGTGTTAACAAGTCCTGGTAATAAAGCTGTCACATATAATAAAATGAGCCTTAATTGAATGAACTCCTTCAAGTCTCATTTTCTGCTGATTTTGAGTGTATTCCTTTACAGACTGTCACTCCCCTCTCCATAAAACAATTCATAGGCAAAACAGGTATGAAGGCAATAAAATGGTATGCAATAAAATTCTGCTGGAAGATGAGCTTGGCATAATAGACACTAAATTAGAAGGTTGAGAGCTGCCTTGTGTGAAGTAAGGATTCCTGTAACTTCTTCAAGCTTAGATTGAGATCAAATCCTATTACATATCTCCCACAATTAGTTTAGGTTCCTTCAGATTGAGCACTTAGGGTTTTGTTTTTTTTCTTTTAAGGCTCAGCTAAGTGAGAAGACACATGCACAGTAAAAGAATACAATTTGTACTTGCTTTTTCTTTTGTCATTTTATTGTAGCATCAATAGTCCTTTTTCTCCTCACGTATAATTGTTTTGTCAAAGTAGAATCTGTGTTGCCAGTTGTAAGTATTTTGTTTTGAAGAATAATAGTGATTCTGGGCTTTTTGTTTTTTTTAGGCTAATTAGATGTCAAACACATTTGAAATGTGCAGAACACTTGTTCTAAAAACATTTCCAGAGTGATTCATGAAGGGGTTAAATCCCTGCCAGACCTAATTTCCTATGGTCACTAGTTTTCAAAGGTCCATTTCTGGCTCTGTCATTTCTCAGACTGCCAAATACACGTCTAAGTGGTAAAAGTTAACATGCACAATTCGTTTTACTTAGGTGTCTAAAGCTGAAATAAAAAAGGACCATGAGGGTTAGACATTAACCACATGTTTACTTTCTAATGTCCTATTAGTGCAAGATGCATAGTTAGGCAGGGGACAATATGAACACTTTACCTAAACTTAGCACGTGAGCAAAATGTTATAGTGGCTGATTTACAGCAAGTTTGACTTTCCATTTGGACATGCAAATGTGGTACGGTGTAAATCTCCAATGACATCTTTAGTTCAGTCTCTGAATTTGTGAAGACCCTTTAACTATAGAATAGTTGTTCCTTTCCCTGAATACAGAGGATATTATTTGAATAGGAATGACTGGATCAAAAGAATTGCCGAATCATCCCGTTTTAGATTTTTCTAAAATATTTTTATGTACATTTGTCCGATCTGAGGAGAATTTTAGGATCTATGTAACTCGTGTTTTATAACATTCTGTGCGTATTGGACATGCATGCACTTACTGCGAGACAATACTGTATACAAATTTGACTGGTTTTCAAACCAATTTGATTCTAGGTTTGAATCTGTTTTTTTTTTATCACAAAACATTATAAACATTAAAAACCATTGTATCATCAAAAGCAAATTTAACTATGTCCAATCTTCAAAACTACATTTCTTGGATTCCTACTTAGGGAACATGTCATCAAGGAACCATCACTAATTAGAATGAGGTTTCCGTCAAGTCTGTCAGTATCCAGATTAATGTTACAGGAATGCAATACTACATTTACTCTGGGAAGCCATGTTGAACAATTATTTTCAGCATTCAGGAACAGGGCCTCAGTGAGAACTTTTACTCAGTTGCAATGGTTTTAGAAGCTTTAGTAAAAGGGCAAAGACAGCTGTTTTACCACTGCTGATTACCTGCCAATAGATACATGAATTAGGAAAGTAAAAGTGAAATCTGTAACATCTCAGTGTGTCATACAATATTGGTGTGCCACATGTGATAGTGTTTTTTTGCATCAAGTTAGCATTAATTTATGTTTGGCACCCATGACAAATTTTAAAATGCTGATGGAATGTCATTTAAATTAAAATTATAGGTACAATTCTCATTTACTATGTATGTTTTAACAACATGAGAACACTACACATGTAGTGATGAGCAAAAGTTTTAATATAAAGCATTTTTATTGTCTTTGAACATCATTAAGTTGAAGTATCATACCATATGAAAGAAGTTTTCTTTTATGCTGTACATAAGTTTCTGGCATCTGATACGTTGATGGAAGTACCAATGATAATCTTGAATTGGTCTTGATTGCCTGCATATGTGAAGTTTTGCAACTTGTATTTATAATGTTCTGTAGCATAGTCAAATCTTCTTGAAATTAATAACTTTGCTGTAAATTGACTCATCAGTAGCACTTCAGAGATTGACATTGCAGTGGCATGTGAATTACATTTCTATACTTGACTGTATTGCTGCATGCACAATTGTGCCTGCAGCTTAAATATTGCATGCCAAAAGGCTTATTTATTACTATAAGACAAGTCTAAAGGTGAAAAAAACTATATTTTACCCCTGTCCTTTTAAAACCTACAATACTAAACTCACTGATTTTATTCCTTCTGTTTATTCCTAGCAACATTCATTCATCCTACACCAGAAGTGTGATGCTTCAGCCATGACTTTGTTTTTGCATAGTGCTTGTATATGCAATTATAAGGGTACATACACCACCTGGGTTCTCCTGGTTCTTGTTACCCATACAATACAACCATGTTGGTGAACTGCTTTCCAGCTTTATTTTGCCAAGAGTTAATATTTGACTTTACTTTCTAGCTTGCCTTCTGGGAACATGATATATTGTAGTTGCTCTGGGCTTCATAACTAATTTTAAAGAATCATTTTGTTTTAAAGGGAATTGATTCTGTATTGTATGTTTTTATCTATGTAAAATGTATTTATATGTGTGTTTGATGATGCATGAAAGAGGGCTTGGCAAGGAAAATAAAAAAAATTGCACTGAAAGGTAGTGACCTCCTTTCCCCATATCAGAAAGTTGAAAAGTGTGCAGATACTGGCAACTCAAATACCAAAGTGGCTAATTCTGTTTTTAGCTCCCAAAGAGTTAGCACTGTTGCCTTTGCAGTTATAGCACAATATTTAATAGTAGGCTTTTAAAATATGTTCATTGATGACATCGGATTGCAAGTGCTTTTACAATATTACAAAATCACTATTTTGATGTGACCACAAAGGTTTTGCTTTGGAGAGCTCAAATGTTAAACAGGCGGGCCTGGCCTGCCAGAAATTATGTTAACAAGGATCTTTTACCGTATATCTAATAAACATCCTTACATTACGATGAAAATTCCTATGGTGATATGTACCATGCTAATAAACTGCAAATAATGCTTTCTTTTATCGCCTACTGTGCAGGTATATTACCTCTACAAGTTAGGCGCCTGATGTGTATATAAGAAAAGTAATTTATGCACAGTTTCATAACCATTGCATAAGTTGGAGGTGGTAAAATCTGGCCGAGTATACAGCAGAGCATTTAGCTTATAGGATATAGCACATTAGAGATTGTGGACCAGTTTGGAGTGTGCAATGTAGATCACAGCATGTAAGCTATATCCAATGGCTGCTATAGCGTTCCTTTTAACAAGGCACTATGCAAACTTTTATTCAGTCAGGATATCTTTGATGTGACTTCACTAACCTAAAAATGTATATTTTAGTGCACTCTCCATATTCTGCTTTTCATTCACTTACAAATTTAATTTTTGTAGTATTTGCTGCCGTTTGTTGGAGAAGTTTTGCTTTTGGCTGTCTTTATGATATAAAGTTATGATAGTGTTATAGATAACATTTATCTTTTGATCTTGAAAAGATTCTCTGTCATTTTTTGGCAAAGTATAACATATACAAATGTCCGCATTTTTTTTGTACAGTGTTATCTGTCTAGACATTGAACT